GAATGTTATACTGGTTTATGAAAGTGGCTCTAGTAGGCTCTCTCAGTTCTGTGACCCCCACCAGCCCTGGGTAGTGGACTGAGTTTACCGTGTCATAAATGAATTCCCTCCTACTGAGTTAGCCTTAAATCTAAGTAGAAGGTGGCTCGTTATCCCCAAGATGTTAGTGCAACTCTGAGCCTTCGGAACTGTCTTGCCATGCAGGTCATTGTTGTAACCTATGCTTCACAGTTGGGTAGTGCTACTGATTGCTTTACCCCTTGGCAGCTTGGATAAATAGTTCCAGTGAGCCTCCTAAAAGAGTTTCTGACTGAGATTTTACCTATATGGATATGCCAAGTGACAGACATGAACGAAATGAGAGCGAAAATATTCACAATGAGAGAGTTCACTTCTGACTGTTAACAGATGGATTAACAATATTAACAAGTAAAAATTTATAAAATGCTTCTCAGTGGTGTGAAAAGGAGCAAGAACTGATGATAAAAAGACATCAAGTCTTTTAATCAAAAAATATGTGCATAGATAGGAAAACTTTCATTTATGATAACTGATCAAATTAGCAAAGTAGAGGTTATCTAATGTTTGAACAAGAAGTTGTATGCTGGAAATAAGAAAAAGTATTTTAAAATTAGCTAAAATCTTTCAGTAAAAGAAAATTCTCATCTTATTCTTTCTTTGTCCTTATCGAGCTCTCCAATTTTACTAGATGACTCAAATCAAACTGAGGCAAATACAGTGTGGATGATGAGAGTAGATTGTGTGGGCTGGATATGGGTATAGCTTCACACCAGGTTCCAAGAAGCAGCTAAGCATTGCTTACAATCATGGTCTTTAATGTTAGTGACCATGCTTTGCAGTCTTCATGCAAAAACCTATTAATTTCTGATCTGAGAAGCTATGAAATTTGGATCATCAATTCTACTTAAATCTCAAATGATGTAAGATCAAATGAGATCATGCTTTCAAGGAAAGTAAATAGTGCTTTGTACCTATTAAGATCACTTCAAGTTTGTGTTAAATGAGTAGATGTAGATATGCCCCTTTTATATTTGACATGTCCCATGGGATATTAATAATATATCAACTTCCCAGAAAAGGAAAGATACATCTTCTTGCTTCTAGTGGCCATAGAATTTGCAATACCTCAGTATGATATCTTATAAATTTGTAAACTATGTTATAATCACCATAGATATTGGGAAATTTTAATTTAAGTAAATACTGTAAACAAAAAGAATACTGTTAACAGTTTAGCGTGGTGGTAATAGATTTACCATAATTTTGTTTTCTCTTGTAAGTCTACCAATTTAGACAGTGATGAGATATGATTCACATTGGCTGAAAAATATGGAACAGCTCTATATAACTGATAAAAATAAATGTTCATAGAGGAAGGTACTTAAATATGTATGTAATCATATCCCAGTTATGTAAATAGTGTTAAAACATTTACGCAAATCTGTTTAAAATTATGTCACATTATTGACAAGGTAGATGATGGATGAATGCTCTATGAGCTTATAGGTATTTTAAAGCTAACACTTTCTGACAGGTGTTCCTATTATGTAACACTAATGTTACCTCAACACTAAGATATACCGTATCAGTGAAGATACTTAATCACAGGCCAAAACTAGTATCCTAATTAGAATTACACTAATGAGCAACTGTGAAGGCAATAGTTCATTCGCATGTGAAGAAAGCCAATTTTGATTTAATCATAATTTAAATGCTAATTTGAATGCACTTAAGTATATTCTGTAAGCATAAACTAAATTATTATCACTATTTTACTGGCTATTGTGTATCATTTAGTTAGCAATCACGGCATATTTGAGTTTAGAAAATGTGATGCCCTTAGTTCTAAGGATTGCTAATGTTTTTTTTTTCCTGGAACACAAATTACATTATATAACAGTTTCTCAGGCTAACTTGGGAATTTCAGCATGCATGTGACCACAGTGCTCTCAAGGTGGTGCTGTTTGGGAGCGACATGAATGGAGGGAGGTGCAGTGTGTGCTGAGTAGTTTTCAGAAGTAATATAGTGTCATTTGACTCCTCGGCATCACCCTGGCTGGGGCTTGTCCCTGTGAATGCCATAGGAATCTATGATGCTACTGAGGATGTAGGAATCAAAACAGGTTCCTGTTTCAAAGCTGTTGCAAGCTAGAAATATGAAGTCGCAAAATGGATGAGTTTATTACCTCCTTTATTTGCTGTTCCATATAAGTTAGTGTGTCTGTCACATGTTTGTTCTCCCTCAAATGAGCTAGCTGAAGATGAGTAGTTCATTTTTATGTTGGTGTTATTTTGTGTATGAGGCTAACTCCAGCAGCCATCTCTGTTCAGACACCTTGCTGGAAGGGAATAATTTTATGATTTTAAATTTGTATATTTGATAAGTGTTTCTAATGTAATGTTTTTATGCTTTCATTTGATTAGAAAATGTGTATGTTTACTAATTTAATCAAGACGCTAAATATATATATATATATATATATATATATAGAGAGAGAGAGAGAGAGAGAGAGAGAGAGAGAGAAACATATTCCTAATTATATAAAGACAACCTGCTCAATCCATTTAAAGTTACTTGTATTGTTTCAGGGCTGACAGCTTGGCATTGTACTTTTCCTGGAGAAAGACTATTTCACCAATTTGGTTTTCTTTACTGATTATACTTATGGATATGAATGGAAAGAGATTGGTATAAAACTTTAGAAACAGCATTTTCATATTATATGATTTGTAAGATGTTTTCCATAAATATAGTTTCAAAATGAAGTACATTATTGAACTAGGTCCCTATTTATGATGAAACACATTACAACATGATTTTGAAACACAAATTTATTATCTTGTAATTCTGGAAGCAAGAAGACTGTAACTAATTCTTCATTTCTAAAATATGATTAATATAGACTTTTGATTGATTTATGTCTCCCATCCTAGTGGGTTAAATGGTAATCGTGCAAAAATATATCTATATTCTAATCATTGGAATAATGAATGTTGCCTTCCATGGAAACAGCCTTCTGAAGATATAGTTAAAGGTGTTGTGATATGGAGATTGCACTGTATGTTCTACAGAAAAGAAAGACACAGTTGTAGGACAAGAAATAAGGACAATCTATAGAAACTGGGCAAGGAAAGGCACAACTCTTCCAAGGAGTCCTGATGATGGATAAGTTTCTGTCAATCATTGTATCCAGATTGATCTAGAAATAGGAGACAATAAATTCCTATTTTGAATACCACTATACTTGGAGTAACTTGTCACAGTATCCCACCTTTTGGTGCTATCTTTCCTAGACTCCAGCACTTTTAGCTAGAGTTATTTTAGAATTATTTTTAAGTTCTGTATTCATAGGTTAATATATTTGATTCAGGTAACACATTTTCATACTATTTAAAACAATGTATAGATTTAGTTTTATCCTTTTAAAATGTCAGTGTCATTCTTCATACAAGCACTTTTGAAAAACTAGAATTGATTATAGAATGATTTTTTTTTAAAAAAATCCTTCCTGTAGTTTGGATTTAGAACGACTCTGACAAAAGTCTGTATGCTAAGGGATAATCCTTGCACTTTCTGGAAGTGATAGAAACCATAAGAGGTAGGGTGTGATGGGGTTTAATTTGTTAGAGGGAGTCTCCTTGAGATGATTGTGACTCTTTGTCATTTCCAATCCTGGCCTTAAGGTGATTGGATTTGTGCCACCCTTGCTTCCTGCCTGCTGTGTGGCCTTATCACCAGCCTAGGAGCAACAGAAACATCTGGTTATGACCTGAAACTTTAAAACTCAGAATCAAAATAAATATCTTGCTTTTAAGACAGCTATCTCAAGCATTTGTTATAATGGTGGAACGTTACCCCAGAATTATGCCAAGTATTCAAATCAATCGTGAATTCTTGAGACTCACTTAGTTTTCTTCAATGCTTTTTCATGTTTTAACTGAGATGTTGTTAAACATCCAAATTTTGTTTTTCCTTTTCCATGATAGTGCTAATGTTGGCAAGGAAGTGGCTGAGATTTCTTTTGTAAGCATTTTGGTTTGTCAGTCTTTTCTTACATCCAAATAAGATCTGATGAATGCTTCCTCTTACAGATGGCTGAAGAGACAGCAGACTATTTAGACCTCCATTTTGCATCAAGCACAAGTGTCTCTTGGACAGACTAAGGTCCAACTGCTTTTTTGTTGAGTTCCCAAATTCTGAATGTTATTTGTTTGCTTGCTTTCATCTTGGTTTCTTGTAACTACGTGTTAATATTTGAAAATCTCTGTCCTTGATGGAAGCCTAGCCTGTCTCATCACTAAGACACTACTGTCTTTCTTTTCATTGTTTCTGTCCTGTTTCTCTTACAAATATTTGAGAACAAGTTTTTATGGGAAGTAAAAAACAGATCCTATAATTTTATTGCTTGATCCAGCCTAAGGATGTTTTTAATTCCTTTTGATACAAGAATCTTTCAAAGAAATGTTCCAATTAGCAGATCAACTCCCTGCTGAATATCTGAAAATGTCTTTTGACAAAGGAGAATAGGTTTCAGGGTATATTGTTGCTGCAAAGATAATGTTTTCATCTGATTAATCAGCACAACCCTTTATAAGTATAATTTTTCCACATTAAGATGAATGGGTGTTGGAAAAATACTTACACTGTTGTAATTAATAAATAAATGCAAACTAAAGAAGAGATCATGAAGTTTCTGTAATGAACAGTTAAATACCTAATATTTACCTTAAATTGTAAGGATAGATTTGTTTACATAGAAAAAATAGCTTAAAGAATTTTGGTGGTATCTTTTCTAGTCACCATTACTTTTAGCCAACTTTATCATGAGATCCAAAGCTTTAATACTACAGGGAACTGTAATGGTAAAATATTTATTATTTCTGGTGACCCATGACAGCCATCTTCGGACCTTTACTTATGGAACATTCTTTCCTCTTTTATGACATCACATCTATTTAAGTACATGGGAAGCTGTAAGGGTCCAGTGTAAAATAGAAACTCACCTTCTGGCCTGTTCCTGGACATCTTGGAGAACACCTTTCATCATAAGCAGGCCATAAGTAATTTAACACGCACACACCTGTACTGTTAGCACAAATCACAGGTAAAAGAAATTACCTTTCTTCTGGGGATATGTCATAGTAACTTTGCAATATTACATGGGATTAAGTTATTAACTTCAAACTGTGTCATAAAAAATTAAAAGATGGTCAAATAATTTGTTCAAATTTCAAGTATCTAGATCTAGCTCAACTGCTTCTCTGTAGTTGTAAATATATTTTATCTTTAGTGTATAAGGTCAATTCACAATTTTGAGCTATACATTTTTCCTGATTCTTTTGGTGTCTTTTAGCTAAAAGAGTTATTTGCTTTCTATCTCATGGAAAAATAGATGATGCTCATAACTGACCCTAAGTTTTATTGAGACACTGATTTTTTTAACAGAAACATCAACCAGGATCCCAAGCACCTTCAACTTCCATATATTCAATTACACAATAAGATGATCTTTGTTTGAATTACTTTAATCTATAGCCCACACTGACTGGCATGCTTTATCTGCTATATATAGTTTCTATAAATTTTCTGAAAAGAAGGATAAATCATAAAATTAAAGAGGATTATAGGTAATGCTTTATCAGAAGAAGGTAAATTTTTCTAGCCTGATTGCCTATTACTGAAAGTAGATAAATTTCCCATAGTTTAGAAGATTTACAACCTGGACAGTGGTGGCACATGCCTTTAATCACACCATTCTGGAGGCAGAGGCAGGCAGATCTCTGTGAGTTCGAGGCCATCCTAGTCTACAAAGCTACACAGAGAAACCTTGTGTTGAAAAAAACAAAAAAGTAAAAAATAAAAACATAATGACTCCTTGAGTGATACTAGCTGTACCAGACAATAGGTTCCCAAATGCATCAATTTTCTATTGCTGCATAGAAAATGAGCACACACTTAAGAGCATATGATAATAATTGCTACACATGGTGCAGTTTCTGTATAACAGGAGGAGACAAGTCAAGACTTAGCTGTAATCCCTGTTCGGTCTCACAAGTCAAAAGCAAGGTGTAACCACCTTACAGCAATTCGTTCTGGAACTCTATGTTGGTTGAAGTGTTGTTAATATTGAGAGAATTTAGTTCCTTGTGGTAATACCACTGAGTATCTTAGCAATAGCTCTGTACTAATGTACTCAAGACTGTCTTTTGTGTATCTTTGTGGTCACCTGGATACTCCCCTGCGTTTATGATTTTCATGTGATTAAGTAAGTCTCACTCAAAACCAAGTGACTTGTAAAAAATTAGAATAATCAAATTACTTTTACAAAATTAGACCACCAACATATAATATAACATGACCATTCAAGTCCAAAAACCTTGCCTAGAAATAAGAGGAGTAATTAGAGAGGACATTCACACTATTGAATTCTAACAGTCCATTTAGCGTCATTCTCAGAAATTGAAACAGCATCTGTCAGTTAGGAAGTCTTTGATAAAAAACAATCTCTTGCCTGTGATTTTAAGGCATTTTTTCAATTTAAATGTTTCTCTTTTTAATTGTTAATTTGTGTAGATTTGGGTGTTAGAGGTGGATTGAAATTAGAGGTGGTTGGGATTCACCTAACTCATGCGCTCAACACTGAACTATGAACTCCTGTCCTCTACAAGAACAAGATGTGCTCTTCACTCTACAGCCGTCTCTCCAGCTTTGGCATTATGGTCAAACTTCCGTCTCTCCAGCTTTGGCATTATGGTCAAACTTAGCTCGACCACCTGCGATGTGTCCCTTCTGTCTAAATCCTGTCACCCATTCACATGAAAGAGATCAAAACAAGTCAAATATGCATTGACATATGAATTGTAACCACTCAGAAGTCACCACTGACCAATGTCAAACAAATGATTTATTTTGGCATAAGGTCAAAATCCTGCTTATTTAAAGATAGCATAGAGAGTCAAAAGAAACATCCATTGAAATGATTTGTATGAGTTTTCAATCTACTCCAACTGGTGTCTTAGCTTGCCAACTTTCACTTCACTGTTTCCAAACAATTAAGTAAAATGCAAACTTTTGCTGTGTCCTTTTCCCTACCTTCAACTTATAATAATCTAGTATTTTCATAGTACTACTCTTCTTTCACTGGGATATGAACGTTCTTGTCTCCCTAAGTGCTATTCTTTAATTGTATCTATAAAAATACACCAATCAATATACTAGAGCATGCATAGAATAGTGTATTTCATCTTTTATGTTTGTAGGTCACATATTCTAAACAAAATCCACAAACAAATATATATATATATATATATATATATATATATATATATATATATGGTATAACACCATTGATAATCCATGAGGGTACTTTTACACAAACCAGATTGCTGGGTAGTCTCTATCATCCAATTTTCAGAAAGCTTATACTATTAATATGATATTAATATGATTTAACTTGCCACTAACTTATGACCTTTCAACACATGATCATTTGAATTGGACAGCTCTGAAAGAGAACACTGCATAGAGTACTCTTTCTGTCTGTCTGTCTGTCTCTCTCTCTCTCTCTCAATGCCCTCTAATGCTCTATGATTACTTTCTGTCAACTAATTACTAAGTCAGCCTCCTGAACAATGGTAATTTTATTTAATCAATGCAAATGCAAACTCAGGGTTCACAGTGTGATCAACTATCCCCCAAAAGAAACATACATTGTAAATACTGGAGAAGGTCATTATGTAAACTAGTAATAGAAAGGCTTTGTAACAGGCTGTGACTTTGTTAAGCCTTTTAGACAAAAATACAATTAATCTAATTAGGAGCATCAAATATAAATGGCTAGTAGACTACATTTATCTTTAATTTTCAATTGATAGGTTTTGTATTAATGTGGGTATGTGGTAATGTTTGATATTTTTGCTTATGGTTATTTTATACAACAATTTCATCAGGCTAATTAATGTATCAATCACTTTGTTGATTATTTTTACTGAGAACCTTAAATTATAAATAGATACTGATTAAGAATGCCAACATTTCAGTTAGACTAGAGTAATAACTTTTATTACTCTACTGCACTATATTATAAATTGCTTAAAATAATGTATTTAGTAGTTCAAAAACTGTTAAAAGAACAAACTTTTTAGAGATAGGGTGTCTCTATGTAATCCTGGCTGTCCAGGTACTCCATCATTAGCCCAGGCTGACTTTGAACTCACCAAGTACTGAGATCAATGGTATGCACCACCATACCTGGCTAAAATAACAAACTGTTCATGTTTAGGGTACTGTAGTAATTCTAGTGGATCCATAGGAGGTATTCTTGCCTAAAAAGGGAACATCAAAACCATGGGGAATATCCTGGATAACTATTACAGCAAGTGAACTGTCCTGCTTCGAATCTCAGTATCTCAAATATTGCAAAAGACCCTACTTTTGAAGAAAAGCTTAGACAATACTGTAAAATATTTTACAATGTCAGTCTTTGGTTTCAAAGGCAGAAAGGTATATTCATAATGTGGAAATAATGTCTGGCTTCCTTCCATGGCTGCTTGCTGGCTTCACATGAAATCTTTAAAGCATTTTGTGATACATTAGCCATACATGCAGAACAAATTGGCCAGTTTTCAAACATTAGTGAGGAAATATATTTATCTGCCTGTTGTGACACTATCTTTGATAAGTGGTACTAAAGAATTGTTTTATGTTTGATAAACCTGGAGGGTATTTTTCATGTTTTTAAATTAGAAATATGCATGATTCAAATGTCAATCCCAGCTCCCCTCTCATTTGTCCCTCCACCAGTCCTCCAGCCCCTCCCCCCAATCCCCACATCATTCCCCAGGGAGGGTGAGGCCCTACTTGGGTGGTCTCCAGAGTCTGTCATTTCATCCAGGGCAGGACCTAGACCCTTCCCCATGTGTCCAGGCTGAGAGATCACTTCTCCATGTGGAATGGGCTCCCAAAGTTCATTTGTATGCCATGGTGACCACTAATCTATTACCCAAGGCCCCAGGGATTTCTGAGGCCTCCACACTGACACTACATTCATGGAGTCTGGATCAGTGCCCTGTTGGCCTCTCACCCATCAGTCTGAGGTTCAAGACCTTCCCCCTTGTCCAGTCAGATGTCTTTGTGGGTTTCAAAATGGCCCCTTTGCTCATTACTCCTCCATCTCTGTCACTGGATTCCAGGAGGTCAGATCAGTGATTAGCTGTCTTTGCTTCCATCAGTCACTGGATGAAGGTTCTAGGATGTCATATAAGGTAGTCATCAAACTTATCATCAAGTAGGAGCTATTAATTTTAGTCTCTCCACTATTACTTAGTTTTCCAGGTGGTGTTATCCTTGTAGGTCTCTGGAAATCTCACTAGTGTCAGCTCTCTCATCAAAGCTATAATGACTCCAACTATTATGGTATCTCTCACCTTGGTCTCCTCTATTCTTACCCTGACTCAACCTTTCTGCTACTCCATGTCTTCTTCTACCTTCCTCTTATCTCTCTCTCTTTTTCCTGGTTCTCTCTCCCCTCCCCCAATGTTCCCAATCTGCTCAGGAGATCTTGCCTCATTATACTCTCTGGGGTATCATGCATATCTCTTGGGAAACTCCCTGTTTCCCAGACTCACTGACCCTGGGATTGTAGGCTGACACTCCTCTAATCCATGTCTAGAATCCATATATGAGTGAGTACATACCATGTTTGTCTTTTTGTGACTGGGTTACCTCACTCAGGATGGTTTCTTCTAGTACTGTCCAATTGCCTGAAATTTCAAGATTCCGTTGTTTTTTTTTCCTCTGAGTAGTACTCCATTGTATAATTGTACCACATTTTCTCTATCCACTCTTCAGTTGTGGGGCATCTAGGATGATTCCAGGATCTATCTATTACAAATAATGCTGCTATGAACATAGTAGAACAGACATCCTTGTTGTATGAATGGGCATCTTTTGGCTATATGGTTAAGAGTTGAATTTCTGGGTCTGGTGGTAGACGGATTCCCATTTTTTTGAGGAATCTACATACTGATTTCCAAAGTGGCTGTACAAGTTTGCACTCCCACCAGTAATGAACAAGTGTTCCCCCTTCTCCCCATCCTCTCAAGA